GGGTGATTGTACGAAACACCCTGATAGACATAAAAGTGAGAAATTGCGTAAAACGCCTTCCACTCAATGAAAAGATTGCAGAACCATTCTGGACCTTGCACAAATCTCAGAATTCTTGTGATGGAAGAAAGAGCAGTTGCAATATTCCAAAATAGCAGTGGAGCACTAAGGATATCATGTGGTAGCATGTGGAAGAGAAACTAGAAGGGTCCTTAAACAGCTACGGAATCAAAAGCTTGCTTTAACAAGGAAACCTTTCAAATTCCAGCAGAACACAAATAAAGAAAATGACCTAGCCTTTGAGGGAAATACATTTTGCATATGTAGCAGCATCCGGGAGAAAGCCCTTCTCATGTGCTGACACTAACTAGTGTGGTGTAGTGGTTAAGAGTGGTGGACTCGTAATCTGGTGAACCGGGTTCACTTCCCTCTCCTCCACCTGCAGCTGCTGGGTGACCTTGGGCCAGTCACACTTCTCTGAAGTCTCTCAGCCTTACTCACCTCACAGAGTGTTTGTTGTGGGAGAGGAAGGGAAAGGAGACTCCTTAAGGGGAGTCCTCCTCCTCCTCCTCCTCCTCCTCCTCTTCCTCTTCCTCTTCTTCTTACCTTAAAACAAAACAAAAACTTTCAATATGAAAATAAAATTTGTGCATTCAGCTTGGATTTGCTGCAATGTGAAATTCAATTTCAGTCTTGGGAGTCTAAAACCCAAATATTTTTTTAGGACTACTTTGTATGTCTTCTGCATATTTGTGTTTTCTCTGACTGGGCTTTTTTAAGTGTTAAAATGACTTGAAACAGTAATTCTAAAGTAACTATCCATAAGTAGGTGTGCGTTGATTGTTATACCCCTGCCAGTTTTCTCAGAGAGCTGTTTCCCCATTAGACCCATTCCCAAGTACTATGAAAACCTTAAAACACTCGGAGCAGAGTATTCCTGCAGATGCTGGAGTGATAAGCTGGATGACCTGAAATGCCTTGCCTATGGCAAGAACCAGTATCTCTCTGATGTTAAAGGTGTATGATATATCTCAGGTGAATGCTATAGCCTTAGGTACCTAACATTTTTACCTGCCCTACTCCTGTGGCTTTAACACCCACTCAAGAAATGAAAGATGTGAAGCTTTTCCCTTCGCTTCATCTCCATGGTAGGAAAAGATTCGCCTGATGGATTGTTGCGCATCAGGCAGCTTTTAAAGGCACATGAGCAAGAGAAATATTTTGCAAGGAAATGAAAAAAGGTTGGCAACTCTATACATCCTTATGTTGTCATTTGCACATTTAGTTCCAGTATTTAACCCATTAAGAAGGTACAAAACACCCTAAAGCACACAGGCTTGTATAGATTTGTGTCTGTATCAAAGACAATCAGCACACCCTGAACAGGGGGAGGGAAGGAGAAGGCAAGTTATTCAGATGAGAATATTGAAAGGCAGATGTTCGTGGGGAACACTGTGAGCTGGTGAAAAGAATGTGAAAGTAGCAATCAAACTGCACGTTTCCATGGACTTAATGCTCCTCTTGCTTTGTGGGCTGTAAAGTCATGTCAGACCTAATCTATCCTTAATGAGCTCTCTCCTTCTCTCTGTTGTGAAGGGATACTCACCAGCAAATGAAAATTAACACACAATTGTCTTGTCGGTAATTGTTAGAGGCAATCCATCCCTCCTACTTCCTGAACAAATGCCCATCTCCACATCTCCCCCTTGGAAACTCTTATGGACTGCTGCTGCTGCTGCTCTCCATGGTAGATTTTTGCTCATATTCAAAGAAACAAACAAGGGAGGAAAAAAACCAACTGCCTCATTTCTGAACGCTGGATGTGATTCTTCTGATTATAGACAGTGTTGTGGCACCTTAAAGATGGCATAAGATGAAGTCCATAATCTTCTGATTATGTAAATGCAAAACCAACAAAGCAAATCTATTGAAGCTGTAAAGATTTAATGGGTGTGAGAGGAGGTTTTTGAAGTTTGTTTGTGTATGAAATTTGCAAACTTTGAACATTGCAACTCTGGGAGAGTTAATGCTATGAGCTGTTGTGCGCAAGAGCAATGCAGAGGAAGGCCGTCTCTTCCTGCTTGTGTTAGGGACCTGACCTTCTACTGAGGGTACAGCAGCTCTAAAATTCAAGGAAGCTTTCTTGGCTTTTAGGGTGTGTCTATCAATAGCTCACTGAGTAAAGTTTTAAGACTCCTCAGTGAAACTCCAGACTTCCTGCACTACTAGTACAGCATCCCTATGCTGAGGATCACTTTAAGTAACAAAGCCTTAAAGGACTAATTTTAATAGCCCCACTTGCCTCATCCAGAATACTTGCTTTAGCTACAGTGACAGAAACTCCCAGAGCTGTAGCTAAAATGACCCTAAGGACTGGACTGAACAACAATTCTCTGGAATCAGCAAGTGACTTTAATCACACCTCCCTCCCCTGTTTTCTAAACCAGTGCCATACATTCCCTCGCAAAGTGTAACTGTACAAAGTTGGGGTTTTTTAATAGAATAGCTCTTTAACTGTGCTCAGGAGGGCTCGTTCAAAGATAAGAAAGTTTAGATAACAATCCCAGTTTTGTTTCTTTTCTTCAAAGCCTGGTTTTCCACTCAGGTAGAAAAGCTCTTGTGCCTGGTCTTCGAAATGGAGTACCATTATACAAAAGAAGCAAGCAAATGAATTGGCGTGTCAAATCTGTCTCCAAGAAACCAAAGTGCTTACTAAGGTAATGAGGATTTTCATTTGAATAATTGGCAGCTGTTTGGCTTCAGACAAACCAGTGTGGCTCACAGTAGGTTGATATTATGTTCGTATTTTTTTTTAAATGGCAACTCGACAACAATGGGTTTTGCTTTCTGCCCATTCATGTTTTGATGCAACATTCACATTCCTGCCTAACAAATGTGCACAGAGTAGGAAGTGGTGTGGCCATGGGCTTCTATTTGAAGGCTGTCTAGTCCAAGCCTGTTTAAGCCTGATGAAAAGGAGAGCAGGAACCTTGAAGTGGCACTTGGATGACACACCAGCAAGTCACCTGGTCAAAGCTCTTTCTGTTATGGTGAGATGCATTGTATTTCTATTTAAATTATTGCAATCATTTCTAACCTTACAACTATATGTAAACATATTCAAAGTTTATGCTGAATTCTGTCCCCCCCCCCTTTTGGTAGTGTCTTATGTGGGAATAGGCTGAATATTCAAATTACCTACTTTCTTCTGAATTTGCCTTTAGTAATTTTAATGATAAATTGCTTTCTTAAGCAGGGCTGGTTTTAGCCACTTTGACAACCATTAGATTTTTGCCCCTTCTTTCTTTACAGCAGGTTAGGCCTCTGATTTCTGCCTAAGTTTTTGCCTTCTTAATATGTGGGTCTATGCTGACATGGGCTCCAGCTCCTGTCAAGATCTCTAACATAGGTTTCTCTCAGAGTATGATCATTACATGAGATAAAATTGTCATTCTGTCCTTTACTGCTATCACCCAGATCTGTGGAATTATCTCCCAAAGGAGAACCATGTGGTTACATCTCACCTAGCCTTCAGGAAAGGCTGCCAAACACACTTTTTAAAAAGGGCGCTTGACTCAGATTTGGCTTAATAAGAGTTTGCTGTTGTTTTGTTATTGGTATTTCTTCTAAACATAGGAGCTTCTGGATGTTGCTTTTAGGTGTAGTAAGGAGATAAATCTGTAGAGAGGTGGGATGCTAGTCATCTACCTCAAGCTATGCTCTTAGGCCTATTCTGAGCCTCTATGCAGACAGGGTCAGTATTGGAGACCTTTTCATTTCACTCACCAATTTCCTTCTTCCAGACTATGATGACATCAGCTGCACCCCTCCACCCATTTCCTAGCTATTAATTCCAGGAGTGTTAAATTCCTTCCCTACCCTTGTCATGCTTCCACTGGGACTCTTTGTAACACTCCCTCCTTCCTGGTCTTTTATGTTCTGGTAAGAACAGATGCTTGTGCACTGAGAAGGTAAATTCTGTTGAAACTGAAGCAGCTATGCTGTACCTTACACACACACACACACACACACACACACACACGGTAGTGAATATGCAAGATGCCATGGGTATAGCCAGGATTTATGTTGTGGGAGCATGCTTTATGTTGGGGGGGGGCAGAACCAAGATCTGTGACCCGATTGGTCAGTTAAGTATTTTTATTTATTTACTTGATTTTGAGGGGCAGCTGCCCTCCTCCTGCACCCTTCTGGCTATCCCCATGCAGGGGGCCAAGTTCAGTTTCTGGTATCTCCAGTTAAAAAGATCTCAGATACCCACGCTGGGAAAGATCCCTCAGCTTGGAGAGTCCAGTCAGAGTAGGTACTAATGGGCTAGATCAGGGATAGCTGATGAGTTGTTGTTGCTGCAGCACAACTCCTATCATCCCTAGCTATTGGCTATGATCATTAGAGCTTTCTTAACAAGATCTGAAGGGGCTATGGACTGATGGCTGATCTGTATAAGGTTCCTATTATCAAAGTATATTTTATTAAGTATGGTAACTTTGGATCAGAGACTGTAGTTCACAACCCCGGATTATCAAAGCATCTCACTCACAATCAAGTGGTTGAATAGCTTGAGGCTTAGTTCATTTGAGGCATCTAATGATTGTCCTTGCTGCCTCTCTTCTCTCCTCAAACACACTGGCTCAGATTTCATTAGGTCACCTTTAAGGAGGTGCTTTCTTTTCTTCCCAAGACACTGACCTGGTATATACGGAGGGTCTAAAGGAGGTTTCCTCTTTTTCTATTAGTGTAAAAAAAAAGAGAAACAGTCAGCAGAAAGCTAAAAATGCAGATCGAACTGCCCTAACATCTCAAATTAGGGATTTTTTAAATAATAAAAATAGAAGCTGGGAAATGTTGATGGATAACCATGCAAATTTGCACCATAAGAAGCTGCCTTATACCAAATCATACCATTGGCTCACTTAGCTCATTGTTGTCTATATTTGCTGCCTTCTCCAGGGTTTGAGATATGGGACATTCCCAGTCCTGCCTGGAAATATCAGGGATTGAACCAGAGGCTTTCTGCTCACAAAACAGATGTTCTGTCATGGAACTACAACCCTTCCTTTCTGTTTGGGCTCTTAAGTTTTCTATGGATTAATGTATCGTATAAAAGCCATTGGGGTTGTAATCTTGATGAGTTCTAGACTTTGAGAACTCCCTTGTTCAGCTTCAAATTGGTAGATCTGGCCTCTATTGTTGGTGACATCAAGATTGCTCTTGCTTATATTCTGCTTTGTGTGATAAGCTATAGTCGATGTTCTTAAATGGTGTTGCAACATTATGGATAGATTTTGCTAGCAGCAGTTATTGTTACAGAGAGCTGTCTTCTAAAGGTGATTTACCATCTCTGGCAAGGAGCCCACACTCAAAAGGCTGCAGTTTTTTCAGAAGTAGAATATAGTCATGGAGGGTGCATTTCACGCATTCAGCATCTGAGCAGTGGAAAGCAGTAGAGACTTGAGCAAAATAATATCTCCTATGTCAATGTCGGTGCAACCATATGTCACAAGTTTTTGGAATTGGGGTGGTGGAATAATTCTTTTCTAGGTAACAAATAAAAATAATAATTTAAAAATTGCATTGTTCAGCCCATTTAAGTTTGGAGAAGATAAAGGGAATTTACAATGCAATCCTATGCATGCTTATTCGTAAGTAAGTTCCATTATGTCCAATGGGGTTTACTTCCTAGTTAAGTATTTAGCAGTCTAATAAAAAAGTTAATATAAAATAACCTGCCAACAAATATTTTTAGCTCAAAGGGCATTACAGAGTCATAGAGGAAATTTCATTCCAGGTACCAAGTGATCTATTCTATACCTATCTATCCTGTATTGTTTCCCTGGGACAAACTGCCTGTGTAATACCGCATAGATCCCTGGATCTATGCTAAAATAATGTATAGATTGGGCATAGCATAGCCTCATTTCAGACATGAGTACTTCATGGACCTTAACAGAGGTGAGATTCTGAGCATATTTATAAAGATAAAATGTCACTATCGCTTGATAGAAATCCAATAATTTCATTAACATGTTTCCAAGATCAAGGGATGCATGGAGATTCTGTGAAATGCTGTCAGCACTGAACAGCTTTTCACTGAGAGTTGTTGCAATTAAGCTTCTTAAAATCCACATTTTCATTATTCATTAATGAGCTAGCTCAAAATTATACCCATCAGTTAATTAATGTTGTCACTCTGTCCATCCATCCTCATATATAGTGATATATCGTCCTGTATCTCCACATATTTTTTCCCCTGCTGCCTGTATTCAGTCTCACACATTCTGCATTTGTTTATGCTCATGCTGTACCTCTCAATATGAGATGCTCACATTAATCCCAGCGCTGTATGCATTTTCAACGTTAAAATTTTATCCTGCATTTCAGGACTCTGTGGGGCTTTTCTTCAGTGTCTCCTCGGTGCCTGGGTAAAGTTCAGATCCTCCAGGCATTGTCTGAAGAACCACTATTCATAGACAGATTAACCCTCAAATACCAGGCTACACATATTTGAGCATTTAGAGCATTCCTCCTGGAATGGAAGCCTTGTGAGCAACACTGGAAAGCCAAGACTTCCAGTACAAAAGAAGTGCATTGCCTTTGATCTATCAGGTTCGGTCATTTGTAAACAGCAATTAATTGGCTTTGTCAGGCTGAGATCCTTATCATCTTTCGGTCTAATTTCCCCTGCTCGATACATTTCCTCCACTATAAAAATATTCATCACCTATCCCTGTCAGCACTGATTAAATCTAATGCTCCTCCTTTCAGCTCCTCTCCCAAGTGTGGTTGTAAAGCTGTCAGCCCAGCTGCTTGACAAGAACCAGGCCCCACTTCCTTCGTCTTTGTCTCCTGGAGGAGGGAAATATTTAGGTGTCATTGGGTGGGTGGCTGCTGTGGAAGCCAACGGACCTCAACCGATTCATTGATTAGAGCCTGTGATAAGAGGAGAAGCATTTCCAGGGGGAGCAGCTGTGATATTCTTGGTATGGCAGGGACTAGGATTCCCTCCTCCTGAAAGGGCCTCTTTGGCGCCCACTTCCTGCCTCTCAACACTCTGAATTCTTCTCAGTTGTCTGCTTGCCAACACTTGCAGCCTTAGGAGTGAGGGGATGACAGGAATATCAAACGTCTTGAGGGGAGGCACCTATGAGTCACAGAGGGACAGCAGCTGCTGCATCCATCAAGTGCCCTGCAGCCACTTGCATAAATAAAATATCTAAGCACTTGTAGACCTTGAAGATATTAGTTGATAACAGGATTAAAGGGACAGCGCTTTCCTTAGCCTCTTTGATCTGCCATACTTCAGTATCTCCAGTGTGGAGGCCTTTGAGCCATTAAAATCCAATTACATGTGTTAAGTGCCTTAACTGAGGACATGCCTACATGGAGGTTTGTTGGTGCTAGATGGGTGCTGTGTCAGCACATCTGATTGCATACCTTAGTGCGCACCTATGTGAACATGGCTTACTAAGATCCGCTGGATAAGCCCTGCTGGTATTAGCCTCACCATCCGGGAGTTTCTCTGTCAATGACTCCTGGTCACAAATGACTTTGTGGCCACCATTGGAGGCAGTGTGATGGCCAGTTGCTGAGAATCGCAAGTGGGAAGAGTGTTTCTTTGCATTCTACAGGGGACATGGGAAGGTGCCTTATACCTAGTTAGGTCATTGGTCCAACTTGCTCAGCGCTGTCTACCTCGACTGGCAGTGGCTCTCCAGGGTTTCAGGAAAGGGATTACTCCCAGTCGTATTTGGAGATTGATCTTGGGACCTTCTGCATGCAAGGTTAATGTTCTACCATTGAGCTATGATCCTTCCTTACAGCAGCTACTATTATGCTGTAAGATACACTGTCCTGTGATATCATATATGGTATGTACAGTTGTTGACAGTGTTTATATTAATTTTGCTGTGAAAATGTGTGAGATTTGTTGTTGTTGTTGTTTGGTCGTTAAGTCGTGTCCGACTCTTCGTGACCCCATGGACCAGAGCACGCCAGGCACTCCTGTCTTCCACTGCCTCCCGCAGTTTGGTCAGACTCATGTTTGTAGCTTTGAGAACACTGTCCAACCATCTCGTCCTCTGTCATCCCCTTCTTCTAGTGCCCTCAATCTTTCCCAACATCAGGGTCTTTTCCAGGGAGTCTTCTCTTCTCATGAGGTGGCCAAAGTATTGGAGCCTCAGCTTCAGCATCTGTCCTTCCAGTGAGCACTCAGGGCTAATTTCCTTAAGAATGGATGCGTTTGATATTCTTGCAGTCCATGGGACTCTCAAGAGTCTCCTCCAGCACCATAATTCAAAAGCATCAATTCTTCGGCGATCAGCCTTCTGTGAGATTACGATATTGTATTTATTTGCATTACCTAGAGTTTGTACTAGTGATGAAGCCCAAGACGGCGAAACAAGGCTACTATTCCAGAAATCCTTGTCTTAGACTCTGTGAAGGGATTCTGTGGAACTGCAACAACCTTGCGTGTGGATTGCTGGACTTTATGAACAGACAGGTGGAACAGACACTTTCACATATATGGACCTTATGCATAAACTGATTAGAGAATGAACTGATCCACTGGGTCTTCTACTTTTTTCGTTGAACTTTGAGTTACTTCTGTTGAAATCTACAGTTCAATATAATGAATAGTGCAAGGTTAATGTTCTACCACTGAGCTATGGTCCTTCCTTGAATGGTGGCATCTGGCTCACCACTGTGAGTTTAGGATGCTGGATTAGATGGGTCTGTTGCCTCATCCAGCAGGGCTCTTCTGATGTCCTTAAGAGCAAACAGCAGCATGAAAGGGCTGTTTTAAGTGGGAAATGGCATGGATTAAGTTCTGCTTCTGCTATGACACGCTCTTAAACCAGATCAAGCCCCACCCATGGATGTTGTGTGCTGGAAAAAAAAGGAATATCCTAACTCCAAAATGCATTTCAAATCCTGTGTAGTACAATCCAATTTCATAAACTGCAAGCTTGCTCTGTTGGGCCTACACCAATTCCTGTACAGTGGTACCTCGGGTTAAGTGCTTAATTCATTCCGGAGGTCCGTTCTTAACCTGAAACTGTTCTTAACCTGAAGCACCACTTTAGCTAATGGGGCCTCCTGCTGCTGCCGCACCGCTGGAGCATGATTTCTGTTCTCATCCTGAAGCAAAGTTCTTAACCTAAAGCACTATTTCTGGGTTAGCGGAGTCTGTAACCTGAAGCGTATGTAACCTGAAGTGAATGTAACCTGAGGTACCACTGTATTTCCACATGACTGATAGACAAAGAGGGGCTGACAGGGAAGTGGGGAGGGATATAGGTTCAGAGTAGTGGCTGAATCCCTATGAAGTAATGCCTCTGCTCTACAGTTGCTGGGAGAGATTGGAAAATAATTTTAGCCTAGTACAATTCCATTTGGTCACTAACGCATTGAACTTCAAAACAGAGCATTGATACAGGGACACATCTTTATATAGGTATACTGTATGTTTTCTGTTAATATATATGAGCAATGTGTGTCTTCCAAAGGACGTATAGAAAAATATTAATCCACCAATAAGGCCTGGAACACTTGTGCTGGAAAATCTGATACAGGTAGCCCTCAGTGCTAAACTTGGAGCATTATCCAGCTAATCAGCACGCTCTAGCGTTTTCTACTGAAATCAACTGAACTTAAAAAATTCCATTGAACTTCAAAAGGCTAAAACAGAGAACGAATTGTGTCCGAGCAGATGCCTTTTAATTGCCCCTATTTGTGATAGGAATTCCACTGTGGCCAAATGCTGAGAGGTATGGCCAAAGCGGGGAGTGGTGGGGGTGGGGAGTGGAATCGCAAGTTAATGCATGACAGCTTTTACTTTTAAAAAAAATATATAGAAACAAATGTGAAAGCTCTCCCAATGAGAAACACTGTGGAATTGTTTGTGCTTGCTGGGTGGTCTTCTTTTCTTTAATTGTTGCATGATAAATCAATTATGAAGTTCCTGAAGGCTCCTGTTGCTTTAAAAGATTGTATTTTGTGAGATTTATATCTTACTTTTCTGAAGAAAAGACAGATAAACTATTGGCTAGGGTCACCAGATCAACAAATTTAGAATTAAATTTATCTGGAACTACAGTTAGTGATACAAGGTATACTCTTAGATCTCTCTCTCTCTCTCTCACTCTCTCTCTCTCACACACACACACACACACACAGAGAGAGAGAGAGAGAGAGAGAGAGAGAGAGAGAAAGTTTCCAACATTCAATCACATTCTAGAGAAGTAAATTTTTGGGGGGTGGAGGTGGAAGAAGCCCAGCCTCATATAGCTTTTAGAGAGCTATAATGGGCCATGATTTGTCTAAAATTGTGGACAGGGAAGGCTTGTTATTTTCATTAAGGGCCCTTATAAGCTGCACACTGATTTAAAGTAACTGAGAAACAAAAAGTAGGGTGGAGCTATTGAGTAGCAGGTTTTATTTGCAACTAGCAAAACACAGAACATAGGGTTGGAAGGGTGGGATAGGCTCCTGGGTGGATGTAGTGAAACTCTGTGGATTCTGTGTACTATGGCAGTCCTCTGCAGAATGCTATTTTGAGTCCTTTGGGCAAGGCCAGGCAACCCAACTTCAAGGCCAGAGAGCAGACAAGATGGAAATATAGTTGATTGGTGGTTGATTGTTTTGGACACACCCCTGACAGCAGTGGCATAGCGTAGGTTGCCAGTGTCTGGGGCTGCATGAAGGAGTGGCAGGGAGGGGAACGGATGGAGTACGCATGTACATTCAACTGCCTAATGCTGTCCATGTCACCCAGGAGATCACAGCCACAGAAATAAGAAAAGAATAGTCATTTCATTGTCTGGAGAAGTCACTTCCTGGTTCACATGAAGAATCCGTACCGTATTTTTCGTCCCATAGGGCACACCGGCCCATAAGGCGCACCTAGTTTTTTGGGGGGGAAATAAAGAAAAAAAATTTATTTCCCCCTCAAGGCACGAGGCTGGGGCGGGGGAAGCCTGAGCTTCCCCCGACCCCAGCCCCCAAAACAGGCTGCTCTCCGCAAGCCGTGGGAGCCCTCCCGCGGCTTGCGCAGAGCTACCTGAAGCCCCGGCGCGACCGCTCAGCGCGCCAGGGCTTTGGGATAAGAGGCAGCGCTGTGCAAGCCGGGGGAGACCTCCCGCGGCTTGCACAGCGCTGTCTCATATCCCGAAGCCCGGCGCGCTGAGCAGTCGCTTTGGGTAGCTTCTGGATAAGAGGCAGTGCTGCGCAAGCCGGGGGAGCCTGGGGGGAACTCCCGTGGGTTCCCACGGCTTGCAGATAGCTTCCTGAAGCCTGAACAGGGAGAGGGGTCGGTGCGCACCGACCCCTCTCGCTCTCCAGGCTTCAGCGAAAGCCTGCATTCGCCCCATAGGACGCACACACATTTCCCCTTCATTTTTGGAGGGGAAAAAGTGCGTCCTATAGGGTGAAAAATATGGTAACTGTACTGAGGCAGCACCGGATGTTGAAATTTTGTGCCTCTAACAATTTTGCTCCTAAGGAAAGCACTCCTGTGCCCCTGCTATGCTACACCACTGCCTGACAGTAAGGGGGTGCTCCTTGATCCAGAGACAGAAGTTGTATAGAATCACTACTAGGTCAAGCTAATGCATCAGCTATGAACCTGCTTGGACAGAGGTGGCTTGGCTGCAGTGATGCCTGCTGTTAACTTCCAGAACCTGAGACATACCTGCATGCAAAGTATGTGCTCCGTTCTACCATTTAACTATGGCATGTCCCCATTTGACCTTCCAATTTGCTCAGCAAAGTTCTAATGGTAAAGTTGCTGCTCTCATTTTTAGGTTTTGTTAATATTTTATGCCTGCTTTTGTAGGAGACTTTTGATAGTAATTGAATTGTTTTAGCTGATTGGTTTTTCCCTAAGAGTTGTTCTTTTTTTAAATCCACTTGGAAATTTTATACAAAGGGTAGAATATATGTATTTTAAATTACATAACATATTTTTGCAACGGATGTTCATTCCTGCTAAGGTGGAGTTGCTGTGGGTCAATATCTTTGTAATATTAAAGAACTTCCGCCATAGAAAACCCCACCTTTCCTGATGATGGGCATTTTGCTAGTTTCACTTAAGAAGTAATAATCTGTCCTGTGTGCCAGTGCCTCTTTCACATACACAAGCCTGCACAAAGCTTTAAGCCTGCCAGTCTATTACACGCAAAACAAATCCAGCTTTCCCAGGAATCAAATTGAGCAAACAAATAATAATTCCTTGTGATAGAAAGTGTATTTAGAATTGTAAGCAAAAATGAGTTCCATTATCTCACAGTGGTGAACTGGGTCCCTTGGCATATTTGTAAGTGCAGTTCAGACAGATTTTTAAAATTATTATTTTTTACTACAGGAGAAAAAGTAAATGGCCTAACAATAATATTAATGCATACAGCAAGGTAGCATAAAATATTGATAAACCCAAAAGAAACAACGCAGCCCAGATCCAAAGAACAGAAGCGTTTTATTCCAAAAATAAAAAAATGCCACCCTCTTTACCCTGCTCCTTTGATTTTGCCCTCATTCTGTAACTAAAGCTGGTATGCTATGCATGTTACTCTTGCTATGGGGAGATAACTTCACCTTTATGCCAAAACTTTAACAAGGTTGCACATTAATGCATATTTCTACCTTTGCTCCAGATATCTGCTGGGATGGCTGCTGGCAGAGGTGTAGATACTAAGGATATAACTATCCTCAATATAGAAAGAGCTGATAAGCCTTGCCATGAAGTAGTGGAGAACTTGCCACAGGGATGCTGTTTTTGATAGCATCTTTACAGCAAGATGTTGGGCATGAATGGGTATGTGGCTCTAAACTCCCTGACTGCTGTCTCTCAGGTGGATGTTTTAATAGTCTGTTTTACTACTGGGTATTTTCCACCCTTGTTCTCAGCCTGGAGAACCCTCTGGCCCATGGGCCTAATTAGGTCTGGTCCTGGTCCCAGTTTGGCCTGCAAGGCTGTTCTCCACAAACCACACCCACATGCCCCACATCTGATACAAAGGAACAATTGGAAACTCCCAGTTGTTTCCTTGTATACAGTGCTGGCAGAAGCTCCACTGCGCAGCTAAATACACCCACTTTGGCTGTTTGTTTGAAGTTCTCTGTAGAGGGACACTCCACTTGGACTCCAAACAGAGTGTGTTATTCCTTCTCTTGGAAGGGACCACAAGGGTCATCTAGAGTCTTGCATCTAAACCACTAATCTCCAAACAGAACATTCTCCCCTTGGCTGGCATATATCTGCAGAACACACACAAAAATGATTCATTTGAAGGATCCACTTTCATGGCCTATCAACTGCAAGTAGCCAAGAGTCACTGAATATGCTTCTGAATACCAATGGCTGAGGATCAAATGTGGCAGAGAGCTGTGGGCTTCCCATGGGCATCTTGTTGGAGACTATGGGAAATGGGGAGCTAGGACTGGACAGGCCTTTGGTCTGATGCAGCAGCACTCCTCTTATTCACATACACTTCTTATGTGTTAATATTTAAAACTTATATGGTAGGGCCATATATGTGTGACCCAGAATCTGTGCAACAATCAAGGATAGTTTCACAACATCAGTAATGCTAAGACACATTAAAAGGCAAAGAAAACTGAATTCCTCCTCCATCCCTATCTGCTTCCCGAGATCCATTTTAACTGGAGGTGTGAGAACTTATGCCTGCAGTGCAAGAGTAGCATCACTATAGTATTCAGTCTTCAACGAAGTTGGGTTGAGACAGTCCCTGGACTGCCCTGGGTTGGAGCTATCTGGAGCAGTCAAGGGGTGGGGCATTGGGTGCGAAGAAGGAGGCAGCGCTCTCCTGCCATTTCCGGATTTCAGACGATTTATATATTTTCCGGTGCCATGTGTATATGTGGTTGTGCATGAGTTGATCATGCATGGGGGATGCCTGCTCTAGTTCTATATTCATATGGTGCCAGATTCAATCCCTGGCATCTCCAGTTAAAAACAGATCAGGTGAAAGTATAGAGGCTCTTCACTCTTTCCGGGCGGGTGGCGGCACTGAAGAGCCTGAGCATAGCCACGGTTTATGTTGTGGGGGGCAGGACTTGTGTTAGGGGCAAGGTAGATCTGAGGTTTCTGCAACACGATTGGTCAGTTAAGTTTTTATTATTAGTAGTACTTGAAGGGGGGGGCAGCTGCCTCCCTGGCTAGGCCCATGCACAGGTATTCATATCATTCTGACATCTGACTTCAGCTCTTTCGCTATCTTTCCTTCATAAATGGTTCCTAATAGCTCTTCCTGTGGCACCTCTTACTCATTTTTTCTTTCCTGTACACATGCTCTCCCCCCCCCAAAAAAACAATCACATTCATCTCTTCCTACAAAAAGTGGTTTAAATAATGTATAATTTAAGGCTCTTTTATACACTTTCATGCTATCAATTATGTATATCGGATGCTGGAAGTATTTGTTAATATTTCCTTGTTGTTGTTATGGTTGGTACTTCCTCCTCCCTGCCTCCTTCCGTTTTTCGATGCTTATTGCATTTAGTACCAGAGGGGTGTTCAAAAATTTCCTTTGGAAATTGAAATATATCAACAGCATGCTGTAGGTATAGGAAAGCTTTGAAATCTAAGAAAATATGTCTTAAACAATCCAATTTCCAGCGAGACTGGAATCATAAACACAGAGAGAACTGATTTCCCTATTTAGAAAACATGCATGGTACAGCTCACCTGAGATCGTACCACTCCAGATTGCTGCTGTAAGTTGTTTGAATGCAGCCCCCGCCCCATGTAAAAAGAATCTATCGGGAATATAGAAATATGGTCTTCTCAGAGGGAAGACTAAACTAGAATTCTTCTCTTGTACTTGCTAGCTTTTCATCAATGGCTATTAGCTATGATGACTATGTTCTTCTCTGTCAGAGGCATTATGCTTCCTGATGGGAATGACAGGTGGGCAGAGTGCTGTTGAACTCATGTCCAGTTTGCAGACTTCCCATATGTTGGCCACTGTGAGAACAGAATGCTGGACTAGATGGGCCATTGGCCATTGGCCTGGTACAGCAGCTGCTCTGATGTTCTTCTGTTATGTTCTTTTTCCATTCAGGTTTTTCCCAGTCTGTGATTCCTCACCTGGGTTCAAACAATGGTGGTAGACCAGGGGTCAGCAACCTTTTCCAGCCCTGGGCCGGTCCACCATCCCTCAGACCATGTGGTGGGCTGAACTATATTTTGAAGGGGGAAAAATGAACGAATTCCTTTGCCCCACAAATAACCCAGAGATGCATTTTAAATAAAAGCACACATTCTACTCATGTAAAAACACCAGGCAGGCCCTACAGATAACCCAGAGATGCATTTTAGAAGACATCTGAAGACAACCCTGTTTAGGGAAGCTTTTAATGTTTAATAGACTATTATTTTTTAATATTCTGTTGAAAGCTACCCAGAGTGGCTGGGGAAACCCAGCCAGATGGGCGGGGTATAATTAATATATTATTATTATTATTATTATTATTATTATTATTATTATTATTTATTAATTTTAAATAAAAGGACACATTCTACTCATGTAAAAACATGCTGATTTCCGGACCGTCCGTGGGCAAGATTGAGAAGGCGATTGGGCTGCATCTGGCCCCCGGGCCTTAGGTTGCCTACCCTGTGGTAGGCACACGCATTTTTCTGACTGTGAAGTCCTGGGGTGGGAAATTTGGTGCCCTCCAAATGTTGTTGAGCTACAACTTCCCTGATCCCTGATCATTTCCCAGGCTGCCTGAGTCTAATGAGCGTTCAACACCAACTGAAGACCCACAGGTCCCCCACCCTTGCTGTAGACAAAAGGGAACACATGGTCTTTTAGTTCATTCCTCTGTCATGAGAAAGCGCCATCTATTTCCCAGCCCCTCTGCAAATAAACACATTCAATCCACATTACAGTTGTGTTAGGAGCCAGGAGCAGATGGAGCCTGCAGACACAAGTATGGCAGCTGTTTGGAGAAAGAGGGTCAATCAACAAATTTTAATGGAAGCGAAAACAAAACAAAAAAAACAAAAAAAACCCCATCCGTTCACTTTTACTTTCTGGTGTGATGGGGGTAGGGGGACTACTTCTCAACCTTAAATATGCTGATCATAGAATTGTAGAGATGGAAGCGACCACAAGGGTCATCAAGTACAACCCTCTGCAATGCAGGAATCGTTCACCCAACATGGTGCTCGAACCCTAGCTTGTACCTGTCTGTCTCAGGAGACAATGGAAGACTGTGCCTTTGGGGGTGAAGGCTGTTGGAAGGTTGCAGCAGCTTCTGTGGCTATAGAGACTGCTATGGGAGAGAAATGTTTTGTTGCAGCTGGGGCAGAGAAAGGCGTTTGGTTGTGCAGATGCACCATGACATTTTTTCTCTCTGCGCTTCTCCCAGCAGTCATTTCTCGTCTGGTCACTGCTATGGATACAGGACTTGACTGCCTGTCTCCAGGCACTGTGGTCGTCTGCAAGGGATTCACACATGGCATGATCAATGTTGTCAGCTTTCATGTCCCGTTTGCAGACATCTTTGTAATGCAGAGTTGGTCTGCCAACAGGCCTGATGTCTGAAGCCAGTTCCCTGTAGAGCACGTCCTTGGGGATCCTGCCATCTTCCAGTCTGTGGACATGACCAAGCCAGTGTAGACGTTGCTGAGACAGGAGTGTGAACATCCAGGGAATATGGGCTTGGGGGAGCACATCTTTGTTTGGAATTCTGTCCTGCCATGTGATACCCAAAATCCTCTTGATGCACAGCATATGGAAGGCATTGAGGTGTCACTCCTGACAGTTGTAAGTTGTCCATTACGCACTTCCATAAAGCAGCATGCTCAACACACAAGCCTAGCAAGCCTTAATCCAACCCCCTGCAATGCAGGAATCTTTCACCCAACATGGGGTTTGTGCCCACAATCCTGAGAGTAAGAGTCTCATGCTCTACTGACTGAGCTATGTGGACCAGCCAGACTTGAAGCAGAAGCAAGAGACCTTCACAAAATTCTAGTGATCATAATGCATGGACACTACAGAAGAACCCCATGATTTCTCAGTAGTTGTCCAGAACCTGGATCTCAATAATGACAACTCTTCTAAGCATTGATATGTTAGCACTTGAATGTCCATCTGTGTAGACAATTCCCCAGAGCCCCAGTTTCCCCATCATTTGAGGTGCCATTGCCCAGAACCAAAAAACTTCATATGCTCACTCTTCCTAAAAAGTGGTAAAAATCTCCAAGCCTTTTCTCACCCATTCTCATAATGTCCAGAAGGCACAGGGTTCGCTGACTGTGGTTCTCATCTGTGGTTCCGCTAATGGCTGATCAGCCAAGCCACAGGCTGGCTGGCACTGGCCAGGCACTGGTTCAGCTGATAGTGTCTTTTGGGGTTAATTACCAGGCTTTTAAAGTTGACAGTTAATTCTTTTTAATTGATTGCTAACACCGATTTATCAGTTAAATCTTTTAGCCCAAATCAAAAGCTCTCACAATGACAACCCCTCCACGTTCTTCCGTAATGATGCCCCAAAGTTAATCTTGATGATAAAAATGATAAACAGTGAGCCAATTAACCACAACAGTGATATGAGCTCTTTTGATGTGAGTACCTCCTCCTTGCAACTAGAATGAGCACAAAGCTCACTTAAACTGTTTCTCATCGGCTGCTGGACAGCCATTGGAAAGTATTGGCATTCTGTCACTCCCAATGTAGGCCAAGTTCTAATTGGTGACCTGAGAAGTGAAAGGTTCCTTCCTTTATTAAAGAGCTCCTGAATTAGTCACGCTTTCAGAGAAGCAGACTACTAAGTGCTTGGTTTCCCTGAGATTTTCCCTCATACCTTAAAGTTTTGGCAGAGAGCATCTCTATTCATCCCAGAATCTTTGTGTGTACCAGGGCTATTTATATCCTTAAATATATCTAAATGTAAAAAAAAACAACCCACAGGCACTGATCTTTTGTTTGTGACCACTACTGTTATAAGATATGTATGTTCCAGCAAGAGTGGTACAGAAGGAATCCAGCTCACAATCCACACCCTTCCATTGTTTCATCCCCCTGAGTAGTGCCAAAATGGAAGTTCCCAGGCTGTAGAAATGCAGAGGAAGCTGCTGTGGTTTATTGTGTGTGTTGGGTGTGGGTGTGTGGAGTACCCAGTGCATCTACTTTGGGGCAGATGTTTGATTTACACAGCATGTATGATTTAAATTCCAATCTGGTTTTCTAGCTACCGTGCTTGGTTGTTACCAATGTGCCTAAATTCCCACATGGATCAGTTCCATCTTCTTATAGCTGAATGCTATGCTTTGGAATTTGCTGAGTTTGCAGTATCAGATTATTGAAATCAGTAAGACGTGACTTTGAATTTTGTGGGGGATGGCGAGGGAACCAGAAGATTAGTAGGATATTGTGGTGCCAGTAATTAAGAATCCTGCTTTAGAAACATTGGTACCGTTCTTAAAAGTTGCAATTCGCTCACCATGTTTTCCACATGTTTATCCTGGACTGGAATACATTCCTTCTTATCACACTTACATCACAGGCTTTTTGTGTTTTCTCTGCATCTGATTCTCAGGGTGCTTAAAACCTTTTCTACCAAAGCAAAGGCCATGATGTCAGCTTTTAGACTAAGGCCTGTTTAAATATTTTAATCTCCTCTCTACTACTAACAGTGTGTTTTCTTGGGATACTGAAATACACATGATAGACCACAATAATTCTGCAACTCTATACTGTGAATATATTGTGCATTGATGCCTTGACAACTAATGTGCATGAACATTGTTAAAGAAAATTCTGGGTTTAGAGACTACTCAACAGCCCAGCTCGTTGGGGTACAAGCCCCCCGTGGGTCCATGAGGTCAGTAAAAGAAGAAAATTCCAGCCAAGTAATTTGGAGCAAAACAGCAGTCAGTAGATTTAGATCCTTTATTGTTGTGCAACAGGTTCAAACAGCAGTAAGAACACTGAGCATGGGGCGACACTCAGTTTTAAAACTTTCCTACCATATCCCAGAATACAGTTCACACAGCATCATCAATACATCATTGCTACATCACTAAAATGTAAGAAAGGGGAGGGTGACACAAGATTAACATAGGCAAATGTGTCAGGGCAACACCCAAATATAAGATTAGCATAGGCAAACATGTCTCAAGTATCCAGCACCCAAAAGTACAATAGAACTTCCTTTGCAGGTCTGGAGCCTGAGGCAAGTCCAGTGATGAGATTTGGCTTCCCTTGGCTAACAATGAGCCCAGCAATTGTCACCTCAGAGCATTTCCTGGGGTAGGAGGTGTGTATACAGGTCTTCATGTTTGGGGAGGTGGCAGGGAAAAGAGTCCTTTTTCCAAGGGCAAAATAACGTTGGAATGGAGGAAACTGGCAAAGGAGTTGATTTTTATATGATTTTTACAGCTAGGTATCTTCCCTGAGCTGTCAAGTCGAAGGGATACATTCAGGCATAATATTTGTAACATTTAACAACTTTAAAGATGTGCCCCCGCTGTCATTTCTGTAACAACATGGTATACATGTGGTGGGTAGAGTAGCGCATATGCTCAGGAAGACAGATTCCTAAACCAATACAGACTACAAAAGGGGTGAGATCTTTTGCTACAGAGCAGTTTGGTCATCTATGCCAACTGTTAAAGAAAACACATTATCACCTGCCTGGTGTGGATGTCTGGTAGCATGCATTTATCTTCACCCTCTGGATCAGCCTTAATTTTTTCTACAGATCGCATAATAATAATAATAATAATAATAATTTCATTATTTATACCCCGCCCATCTGGCTGGGTTTCCCCAACCACTCTGGGCGGCTTACAGCATATATAAAAACATAATAAAATATCAAACAGTAAAAACTTCCCAATACAGGGCTGCCTTCAGATGTCTTCTAAAACTGTAGTTCTTTACCTCCTTGACATCTGAAGGGCCAGTGTTTCACAGGGAGGGCGCCACTACCGAAAAGGCCCTCCACCTGGTTCGCTGTAACTTCGCTTCTTGCAGTGAGGGAACCAGCAGAACACCGTGGAGAAGGACCTCAGTGTCCAGGCTAAATGATGGGGGTAGAGGCACTCTTTCAGGTATACTGGGCCAAGGCCATTTAGGGCTTTAAAGGTCAGCACCGTAAGTGGTAAAATAGTCATCTGTGAACCCATCCATATTCTCAGGCGGCACCTAAATATTCTAGCACAAATTCCATGTTAATACTTTCACATCAATGGATCTTGGGGTAAATTTCTCTTGTGGGGAGAAGGGACAAGATTTGACACAATACTGAACTGCTTAGAGGTTCTTAAATTCATGGTAAAGCTGTCTGCAAATTATGTTCCATAAAATAAAATGATATATTTAAGTTTTTTAATGCAATCACCTTTAAAGTTTCATTCACTGATCAGGTATATGTCAGGCGAATTCTTACTGCATGATACATTTCTGTCATGGTTTTACTCCTCCACCTTTCATCCTGATCCTTCAAGCTTACTCATTCCCTGCCAAAGTCATTGATAAAATGTGATCAAGGAGGTGAGCCATAGACGTCTCTTGAAGCTTTCACTGAGAGCTGACTGCAAAGCATGCTGGGAAGTATTGCAGACTGTTTGAGGGACAATAGTTCCAAAGAAAAATCCTCTAACACCTAGACATGAAAAACTCTAGGGAGGCTCACATGTCTCTGAATCCTGTGACAAGCAGGATTCTTGGGATATCGTAGCTCCCTCATAATGGTTGTACAATAAAAAAGGTGGGGAAAAGCCACGGGGAAAGTTGCCATGTGAAATCAATGCCCTGAAGACACTCTAAGTTACTTTCTGCCCATTGTCAACATCACTGTTACAGATGTGGATTTTATTTTGTATGCAAATATGAAGTAAGAAAAGAGAGATGCTTAAAGCTACGCAGGTCCGATTACTAGGTGATCTTTATAGTTACACTTAATTCTCTGTATGGCTTTGTCAGCCACACCATTGAAGATCTCAGAGCATCCCGAGACACTAATGGAGATTACGAGTCAGTATTTAAATACTAGCCGCAGACAAGATCTAAGTAGCTTGTGAACTGCAAGTCTTTTGTAGAATTACTCTCTTTGAACCAGAAACCTAGTTTCCTTTTAAATGCTACATTTACCCTCGGGGCTTTTTGCATTCCTATGACACTTGACCGATTGACTCTGTTATCTTCATCTTAGAACAAACAAACAAAAGCATTTTATTCCTTCCAGCCAAGTGTCATTCACACCCAGCAGTTCCTGGTGCAAGTTCTTGCCTTGTTTTTATGCCATTACTTTCCTAAACACACACACACACACTCCGGATGTGCAGCTACCTGTGAGCCCTCATAAACCCATTCTTCTGCCTCCTTGCAATTGGCTGCTTTTCCAGAAGATCAAAGTGGATTTCCCTAAATAATTTAACATCTTGCTTTCCCAGGTTTTGTTCAATCAGATATAAAAGAATGCAAAGTTAGATAACTCAGTCCCCACTCCCACCAGGTTATAGTAATGATAATTATGACAGCTGTCAAGCAACGTCTTGTTTTTGTTTTCTTCCTCTATTTGGTTGAAAGGTTGGGGATCGGGTTAAGGAGCTATTCATCAGCTCTTATAGCTCTTATTTCCAAGTCTGGCTCATTTAATCAATTCCAAATAGATTTACAGAATATTGACTGCTCCAACAAAGTGTAATAAACAACTCATTGTTGACATCTGACCTATTATATTCCAGCTTTCACCTGGAATTTTGGACAATTATAAATTGTTAAGACAGCACATATGTATTGGGTCTACTTTTGCTGATGAGAGATTTGAACACTAGCAGTTAGGTCTGTTAACCGCTTTCTGTCCAGCATGGTTACTCATCCATGGAGAAGCAACGCTAGAGTTTTGAGGGACCTGACATATATTCAGAGGTATGTTCAAAGGAACAGGGAAATCAGGCATGCTAGTCAGAGAGTCACTCACAGGATTGTTCTCGGTTATTGTCAGCATAGCACATAGAATCATAGAATTTTAGAAGTGCGAGGGACTCTGAGGATCATCCAGTCCAACCCCCTGCAATGAAGGATTATGCCGCTGTCTCATACAGGGATCAAGCCTGCAACCTTGGTGTTATCAGCACCATGCTCTAACCAACTGAGCTCTCCATTCAGACCTGTATTATTATTTCCAATTTGGTCACTTCCTAATTGATTGATTGTCTCAGGAGGCATTTCAAAGTTTAGATGTAACTTAATATACATTAGCATCCCTAGCAGGGAAAAAACCCCTCAATCAACGCAAAGGCAGCAGAGCTTGCTTAGCTGTGAAAGTTTCATACTGCCTGGTATGTTTTGACTGGTTTGAGAAGCCACCTGACAGTACAGTGGTACCTCGGGTTAAGTACTTAATTCATTCTGGAGGTCCGTTCTTAACCAGAAACTGTTCTTAACCTGAAGCACCACTTTAGCTAATGGGGCCTCCCACTGCCGCCGCGCCGCTGGAGCACGATTTCTGTTCTCATCCTGAAGCAAAGTTCTTAACCTGAAGTACTATTTCTGGGTTAGTGGAGTCTGTAACCTGAAGCGTCTGTAACCCGAAGCGTCTGTAACCTGAGGTACCACTGTATTAAAGCAAGGTGGGGCGGGGAGATTAGCTAACCCTCTTCAGACAGGAACTGTTGCCCATCCTTTGATCCATAAAGCTTCCTCTGCCTGTCCTGAGAAGCCAGAGTGCTTAAGTGGCACAAGAGGTAAGGCACTGTAAACTGGCTGTTAAAGACCCCAGTTTGAAATTCCCTGTTGCCACCTTGATGCTCGCATCAGTATACATGGTGAAGATAGAGTTCTGAAATCATAACCAAAAAGCTCTGAAGAACACAACTGTGTTGCCTGAATTGGTGAATGTGCTAAAACATTTTACCACCTGCTGTCAAACTGATGCTGTTGAGAAAGAGTGAAATTTACAAGAGGTGTGTGGGGAGGCAGGGGTGGTTCTTGAAATTACCACTTTCCCTCTAAAAACAACTTGACATATGAGGTTAGGCTGGGATGAGAGTCAGTGACGAAAATTTTCAAAACATCCTGCCTACAAAAGTATCAGAACCATTTAAACAAAAAACCCACCACACCATAAGCATGTTATTTTTGTGGAGGTGAGAGAACCAGAGGGTTTTGTGTCTACCTTTAAGTCACTAAAGGTTCTTTATAATGAGAAAACCTTTAGTGACATAATGACCTCTGAATAACAAGTAAATTCATTATAGGCCAACTTGATAGGCAACCTGGCTGCCTTCACATGTCTAATGCAATTATATTGAAGCAGATTTGATTATGCAGCTGTGAGTAATAACAATATAGTATAAGAAAGTAAAAATTAAAGAAAATGCAAAGAGGGAGCATGGTAAGAAGCTGAGGGTTGGCCATAAGGCATGGATGAAAGTGTTTGATTCTAGAAGATCAGAGAAGTTTCAGGTTTTCCCCAGTGAGTTCATGACATTGCCCACCCCCACCCCATTCCCAGTAACTGAAACCAATCATTTGTCATTAGGAAAGGAGATCTGGAAATTAAATATAACGACAAACATTTCAATCTTGGTTACACCAGAGGGTGAAAAAATGTAACAGGGAAGAATTCCCAGATTGCGTGAGAACAGAACAGAGCCTGTGCTTTCCTAGCTTTAGCATGGCCTGAATGAAATTGAGTATCTTGAATATGTTTCTTAAGTACTGAGCCAGCAAGTTGTCATTATGGTGTACTACCAGAATTAGTTAAAGTGCTAATGAAGGACCCATAATGAAGTCAACCCTCCCTAGCCGTATGTCCCAGAAAGCATCCAGCTTGTTTTGTCCCATAGAACTCAATAGGAGCCATGGGGAATTGAACATGCAGCTGTACAATTTGTGATCCACTGAGCTAGCTCCAGTCCCTTTGGTCCAGCAGGTGCTCACTCAATAAAGAAACCATCCTGGTTTTGCTGCTGAGCTGGGCTGCGAAATGAAGGGGCTTGTCAGTTCTCCTTGCCATAATGCATGACTGGTGGGTTGCATTCCATTTGGCAAGTCACAACTCATGCAAGTCAAGCATAGTCCAGTCCATTCACTTTCGATAGCCAGTTATGATTTTATTATATGTGATACCAAAATATTCACCGTATTTTTAAAAAGTTTTTTTGAAAGATTTTTTGGGTGTTACAAAACAAGCAGGTAAACAGGGAAAGGTGCACTCATTGTCTCCGCTTTCAATTCATAGTCTTTTTCACAGTTCATTTACATTAAGTGAGAGCAAAATATTCATTTTATGCACACTTTCACGTAACGTGTGTATTTGTATAAGCATTGTTTGTTTGGGGAACTGCATTGCAAAATTCAGCTAAGTGTGAATTTTGAAGTATAGCTATGTTTCGGTTTGCATATTGTTTTGGAAGGGGTGGATTTGATAGAGTCACCTTTAAATGCACACTGAATAGAATTTTCGCTCCAGCCCTACCCACTACTGATCTAAACCATTATCTTTATTACACATCATTTACCAAGAGCGATTCATTCTCAGGAGATAGTGGAGCCTTCTCCTGAGATCCAAGAATAATTCTGTGTTTATAAATATTCACAAGATGCTAGGAATAATTTCATCAGGTTTCCTTGGTCACTCTCCGCATGTTCAGTATGGAATTCTGCAGTCCCATCAAGGCAATAATATTTCCCCGGCTCTGTTACTCACGGAGACTGCAAGGCCTAGCACAGCAGGCACTCTGGTCTGGCAGAAAATAAAATCCTCTCCTTGTAGGTCTCCATTGATGGCTGTCTAGTAAAAGGAGGGGAAATTAATTGAAGATGGACGGTAATTAAGTAGTTATGTTATTAAGCCAAACCATCAGGGTAAGTGCCTGTACAGCATATGTATTTGATCTAATCGCTCTCTTTTCTACCACAGCATTATTGAAGGTAAATGAATAAGGAGACTAATTATTCCATTTCTTCTTGGGGTGGTGGGTGGGAGAATCAGAGGGGGAGGAAAGTTGAGTCACACAAGTTGTCACATTATGGCTATAAAATCCATATTTTTTACTATAATGCTATTTCTGAGAATTTTGCTCCATTAGGAAATCAAGAAGAAAGGAAGAGTGAGATTTAGTGGATAAAAGAATATCTTGAGTCCCTACACCCATTTTGCGCTGAGCAGTACAATTTCAGTGTTGCATAAGGACTTTTAAAATATCTCTCTTTCATCTCTGAAACAGAATTTTCCATTAACACGACAAAGCCATTAGTACAAGTCAGCTGGGACTTCCTCTGCGATTGACTGTTTCATCTTCAAGTTATTATCAGCAGCAGATTTACTGCAGTTCCTACTCAGATCGCTACGCCGTTAAAGCACACTTGCAAAGTACGAAACATGCAAGAGGAGAGAGAGGTTTTGATTCAAACATTACACTAAGAACACATGTAAGGAAGCCAAGATGATTTATAAGAAGTTCGAGGATATTAGTGAGAGGCACTTACTGTAGGTTCTCAGAGCCTTACCTTCAACTATTCTAGCTCAAGTCTTATAATACTACCTACCTCCTTTGCTTGAGATTCTGTAGCACCCAGTCTGGGAAGCCCCACATAATCCACCTCCTCTGTTTCTGTTGAATATTGAGCTTTCATCCTTCTCTCAAATGTCTCTATCTCACCAAAGATGGACTGTCTCTAGGCACACTGTCATTTTCTGTGAGGTCGCAAGTGACTGTTTAAACAGGAATTTCAAGGGCTAAACAGATAAGCGAAGTACTCCCTATACCAGGAGTCAGCAAACTTTTTCAGCAGGGGGCCGGTCCACTGTCCCTCAGACCTTGTGGGAGGCCGGACTATATTTTGAAAAAAATAATAATGAACGAATTCTTATGCCCCACAAATAACCCAGAGATGCATTTTAAATAAAAGGGCACATTCTACTCATGTAAAAACACGCTGGTTCCCGGACTGTCTGCAGGCCGGATTTAGAAGGCAATTGGGCCACATCCGGCCCCCGGGCTTTAGTTTGCCTACCCATGCCCTATACATACATTCAGTGAATGCAAAGGGAGGGAGGAACTTGATTGCACCCATTTGCCAAGCCTTGCCCCCAATGCCAACATGCCTACTAGCTATGCCTTATGAATTCTCTTTTCTACACAGCCATTACATCTGTCAGAGCCCCATTCTTTTTTCTTTTTTTTTTAACCTGGCCACTGTACTTTGAGTATATTCCTATGAAGAGCCATACAGAGGATCTATTCTTTTAAGGGGAGCAAATGAAATATGGAAGATTCTGGAAACAATGGAGTTATTATTTGAGGACCTAGGTTTTGTGAACCAAAACAGAGAAAGTTAGATGGTCCACCTTTTTTTTAAAAAAAGGAACAATACAGAACAAGGAGGATATAAAGTTGGCATGAATACAGACCACTTTTAAAACCCATCAGCGAGTTATTGAAACTCAGAAATTTCAAGAGGATACCTTCCAACATTTCACAGATGAAAATAGGGACATGTCTGCATGTGACTGGGTGGGGCAAGGGGTAAAGTTTGTGGACAATAAAGAACCAATGCAATTCTGATTCAGATGTGCTACATGCTGACAGTAGGGACTAAAACTGCAAATGGTTCCACAAGCACTACACAACAAAGGCACTTCCAGATAGTAGCTTAATGTAACAGACAAATCATTGGCAGCAGATTTGTGTGTTTTGGTTTTTAAAAAAATCAAACTTACCAGATTTCCCCCAGAAAGATAAAATGCAGCTTATTTATTTATTAAATTTGTTTACTGCCCTTCATCCAAAGATCACAGGGTCGTTCACAACATAAGAATACGAAATGAGAATCCAAAATACATAATAAAAAAACAAACAAAAAAACAATATCATGTGGAAACTGGGGAAAAACTTGCATACACGAGGAGCACTGATCCCACAATAAACATCTGTCTGGAATCACTCACAGAATATATATATATATATATATATATATATATATATATATATAACAGATTTATGCACTCTTTTGTATTTATTCTGTTGAGAGGATGTTTGTTCCATTTTACAACTAAGGAACATGGGGACCCAGCAGTCAGTGAATCTATGGCTCAGAATTCTTAAGCAGAATTAAGGCACGTACTGTGCCTACTGTGGAACTAAACAAATACATAACTGTATCTGTGGGCATTAAGAACATGTAACAGTAGCCATAGTTGTAATTGCACTAAATCCAGTAGTGGAACACAGGCCTCGACTTGATATAATCACCATAATCACCAGCGTTAGATATTTGGCTGTAAAATACAATCATTACTTTAGAAAAACTTTCCATTTTGTTGTGTTGGTCAATGTGATTTCAGACAGCACAGTTCAACACAGTGGCTGATTATTATCACCAGTCTCACTTAATCTGCATGGAGGGTTGGTCATTTAAAGTGACTGACCTTGAAATGTGGTATTGAACCTGATTGCCATACATGATGCTGAAAGCCACCTTTGTCTGAAAACCATTCAGTTTTGTGATACTCTATATGACATGTGTGTGTGATAGTAAGTTCTTAAAGCAAATGCTTTCAGGGTTGTAAATAAATTGCATATATGATGTAGATCTCCCTTGGAGCAAAATACAACACTGATATGGGTCTGCCCTTTCATGATGACTGCCTCGCTCTGCCTAACAGCATGGCCAGACCTGTAAGGCCTCACCACTTTATGCTCTGTGGGAAAAGGTTTGGGGCTCAGTGAGTAGACCCATGCTAAATCAACTGCAGATGCATATTTAGATGTGGAAAATTGGCTCGAACCACTTTTGGAGTTTCTCATAGTTACCATAGGAGGAAATGAATGTTCCAGTCATGTCAAGAATGACAAAAAAAGGTATTCCTTCTTCAATGATTGTATAATGCCGGAATGGAGAGGTGTCTTTCCTTTCCATTAATTACTCTCTGATTAATGATTCCAAGCATGTATTATGAATTACTGCTTCAGTAATGATATTCTCTCTTAACCATCAATGTGATATTCTCCACAAACATTCATCTGCATTCTCCTGTAATATAACGTGTCAAACTGACTTTTAAAATGTTGTTTTAAGACAAGTCAGTGTGTGCATGTGTGTGTGTGTGTGGCGGGTGAAGGAGCCCTAGTGCCTCACATGAATGAGATAAGAGGAAACAAAGCAAAGGGGTAAGAAAGGAAGCTTGTAGCTTTTCAAGTTCAATGAGACTTACCAGGCTTGGGGGGCCTCTCAGAATCAGAGGGCCCTTTAAAAGAACACGCAGAATTGAAAGCCCTTTTTTTTGGCCCTCTTGTTGCCTTAGAAAATCCTCCCAGTTCATGTTCACTCATTTTCCCCACCTTTCCTGCGCTGTGGCTACCACCACACCAGAACCACCAGACATATACACACCCCTGTGGGACTTCACTCCCCATCTACCAGAGAACAACAACTACCAGACTTTTAGAAGACATCTGAATGCAGCCCTGTTTAGGGAAGCTTCTGATGTTTGATGTATTACAGTATTTAAATATTTTTTGGGAAGCCTCCCAGAGTGGCTGGGGAAGCCCAGCTAGATGGGCGGGGTATAAATAATAATTTATTATTATTATTATTATTATTATTATTATTATTATTATTATTACCTCTCTTAATTCTTTAAAGCTGCCCACATGCAAAAGGAGACTCTTCTGCCATGCAGGAGCAGATGAAATGCAACTTCCAGTGTTCCTAGAACATTAATGTGAGATGTATGCAAACCGATCCTAGCAGTGGCAACACCAGAAATGGATACAAAAGATCCAGTTAATCCCTCGCCAGTAAATTTATACCCAAGTCCTCTCCTCCCTTGAGTTACTTTTGGCATAGTGTATAAACAGTTATTCCACCATTCTCACTCTCTTCCATTTTCTCTAGCAGAAATGTGTTTTGAAAGTTTGAGACAGCAACACCTGAGATTTCCATTAATAGTTACGCACTACAAAAACAGCTTTCTTGAGGAGGAGGGTGCACAAAGAAGACAGATGAGAGAAGGAAATCCTGCCTCTGTGACTTTTGTATCAGGTCATTCAAATAGCCATAACAAACCTCAAGATTAAATATATAGGCAGAGTTAGGTTACTGTGTGATCGTGGGTGAGTTCCAACAGTCCCTGGACAAGGCCACTGCCTATGTTCAGCCATAATGAACAGGGAACGGGAACCTCTGACGAACCAGATGTTGTAGTACTCTGACTCCCATCAACCCCAGCTAGCATCCCTGGTGGTGAAGGGTGATGGGAGTTGTGGCCTTCCAGTTGTTGCTGGACTACAAGTTCCCCACCTTTGCTGCAAAATAACCCGGACTCAGACTATTCAAATACATATTTCATCTTTTGATTTAAATCCCCTCCCCCAAATCCTTCTTTAGCAGTTAGCTACTCTGCATATTCTATAGTTGCTTTCAGAAAGGGAGAATCCCCTCAGCAATTATCCAGCTGAGGCAAAAAGTGTCCTTCCCTTGATTAGCTCAACCCTATTTTTAGGCTGTGTACACATTACTCTGTCTCCAGTGCTTTCCCACCACTGGCGTTTGAAGCCGAGCGTACATGACGTTAGCCACAATCCATATGTATCCTGTAATTTTTTGAGAAACACTGCTGTTGGATGTGTTTTCCCTCAAACCAGCTTCCATCAGATGTGAAAACATAAACCACAGTTTAGCTGAGATGTGAATATTTCAGACATCCATTGGGCATGTGCAGGTGACAACTTCATTGCAGGGGGCAATTGACGGCACAGGGAAAACAGATCAGGTAATGTGCAGGGAAGCAATACAGGTAATCAGGCAATAGTGTGTTCAGCAATGCAAAACATAACTTGAAGCATAGCAGGGGAGAAAGACCTCTCTGAGTTTTAAACCACCCATGTGTATGTGCCCTTACTTAAGGCAAGATTTTATCTTGCAGTGATCTTTACTGAAGTGACCTTTCCCATCAGCTTGAATTCTAATAGAAAGGGAGATTTGATGTGCCAAGATCCCTGTGATGAAGTGTGGCTGATTAGCAGTGATTTGAAGAGCAAGGGCTGCCATACACCTGGAAGGAAGCCCAGTTGGAAAGGACTGCAACTCTGTGTCTTTTTTTATTCCTCTTAATTGCTGTTGTAAAAACGGATGTTGAACACGAGTGTCTTCAAAGACTTTGTCAAGTGACATGTAAGATTTGCATGGCAACTAATGACACTTCAAGGTTTCTCAAGAGAGGCAGCTCTCTTGCTACCTCTGAGGTTTTTCTCCTAATTTTCGACTGTAAAGAGGGGCTGGAGGAGGAGAGAATGAAATGTGAAAATATGCACCAAGAAGCCAAACAAGAAAAAGCAAAGGAAGAAATTTAGTTCTCTGGTTGCCAAGAGAGAGAGAGAGAATACAGTGGTACCTCGGGTTAAGTACTTAATTCGTTCCGGAGGTCCATTCTTAACCTGAAATTGTTCTTAACCTGAAGCACCACTTTAGCTAATGGGGCCTCCTGCTGCCGCTGCACTGCCGGAGCACGATTTCTGTTCTCATCCTGAAGCAAAGTTCTTAACCCGAGGTAATATTTCTGGGTTAGCGGAGTCTGTAACCTGAAGCATATGTAACTTGAAGCGTATATAACCCGAGGTACCACTGTAGTGGTTAATACTTTTTACTCACCATATAAGGATCTTCTATTACCTAACATGGGGGATTGCAAAGGTAGCTTAACAACCAATCCAAACCCTTCAATCATAATCTGAAGCCCTTCTTCATGTGCTTCCTCCCCAAGAGGTCCAGAGGGTGGCAACATGAGAACAGGCCTTTTCTTCATTGGCTCCCCATTTGTGGAATGCTCTCCCCAAGGAGGCTTGCCTGGCACCTTCATTATATATCTTTAGGTGCCTGGTGAAACTCTTTCTCTATAACCAGTCCATTGGCTAATTAACATTCTATGGCCCTTTAAATATGTTTTTGGGGGGCTTATTGGTTTGCTTTTGTTTTGTTATGCATTTTGTGTTCTCATTTTATATTTTTATGTTGGGGAGCACCCTGTGATCTTTGGATGAAGGGTGATATGCAAATTTAATAAATACAATAAATTAAATTAAAAAAGGAGCCAGCAAAGTTGTCTTTTTGGCTCAGTGGGAGAGCTCATTTTCTCCACTCTGAATTTCCATTGCAGATTATACCTATCCTGCCCTCCACATCAAATGTAGCTTTCTTCTTTAGTTTTGTTCCTCCTCCTGCATTTCAAACTGGTTTTCTGCTAGTTTGTTTGGTTTAAAGCACTGTTTGCACACCTATACTTATTTAACTGCTGACTTTGTGCCTTAAAAAAAACAACAGTCATGTTTCTAGAGTTGATGAACTGTTTTAAAGAATGATGGATTTATGTCATCATAAGCTTCCAGCCAATCAGTGGAGTGTACATCCAACTCCTATAACAAACTAGCAGAAATGGATTCTCTTGAAGTTGACCTGGGGAGAAGAGAGCAAGCCAGATGACTCATGAGTCCTCCTCCAAACCAGAATGATTCCTTATTGATTTTTAGGTATTTCTGCCTGAAACCTTCCTTTGTTCTTATATTTTGTTCAATCAGCATAGCATAGCAATATGCTTTTGAGCTAGAATGTATCAAGTGTGTGAATGGATTCAGGGCCCCTCCCAACATCATTTCTATTGTTTCTTCCTGATTGTTTGGGCTCATGGTGGCATTGTGGGGTTATACAGTGGTACCTCGGGTTAAGTACTTAATTCGTTCCAGAGGTCCGTTCTTAACCTGAAACTGTTATTAACCTGAAGCACCATTTTAGCTAATGGGGCCTCCCACTGCCGCCGCGCCGCCGGAGCATGATTTCTGTTCTTATCCTGAAGCAAAGTTCTTAACCTGAAGCACTATTTCTGGGTTAGCAGAGTCTGTAACCTGAAGTGTATGTAACCCGAGGTACCACTGTACATGAGTCTCTTTGTGCCTGTAAAAAATTTGGGGTTGACATACTACTTTGTTTCCAATCAGCACATGGCTGGTAGCTTCCAGCTGAAATCCAACAACGTTTTATACCACAAAAGCTCCATTTTATCCCTCTGCCCACACTTTTATTTTCACATACGCACAGTGGCAGATGTGGAACAAGTCCTGACCCCACTCTGCCCATTCCTTTCCCCCAGATTGGTTCAAAAGGATTTTTGATCATTCCCAAAGGAAATGTGTTATGTCAGCCTGGTATTTTAACCCCTGTCTGAAGTCAAACTGTCTTCCACAAAGTTCCGTTCCTTTTTATATTCCTGTCTTCTTGTGATGCAGCTCTAGGTCAATACAAGTGCTTGCCATAAACACATGCTGATAATAGACTGAGAAATAAGAACTCACATTTTCAGCCAGCGTTTGGTTGATGGAAAAATGACACACTTCCTATTGGCTTCTTGACAGGTGTAATTCATCTTGGCACTGCTGGCTTAATCTGGACCACTTCAGCAATCGTTACAGCTCATTTATCCCCTTTCTATTCATTCCTTATGTGTGTTTAAGAAAAGAAAAAAGAATTTCTAGCCTATCCCTTTTGGGTGCAAAAAATATGAGGCTCTAATAATGAGTATGTAGCTAGATGGGTAAAATGCTTCAGGATTCAATGATACATATTGAAATCCTTATTGCTAGTCTTTTCCAGACTTGTTTCGTGCAAACTGCTTTGCAGTTACTAATGAAGCAGTGCCAAGAAAAACTGGAGGAGCTGCCTCTTCCCTAATACAGAGACATCACTCAATCAAACATGCATTAGAGAGTTGATTGGCATTAGAGAAAGATTCTTCTTCAGTATCCTGTGAGCAACATCAACACCTAAGGCCCGGAGAGTGTATTTGCACTAACATGATGTCATTCAAAATCCCATGGCATGTAGGCACTATTTAAGTTGTTTAATATAGCAAACAATGAACCTAGCTCTTTGAAACATGGGATTGTATTGAGGATTAGTCATTCTCAGAGAAGACCCTCTGAAATTCATGGACATGACTAAATCACTCTGGGCAAAACTTAGTTGGATGCAACCCATAGGAAACTGCTGTACACCAGGCCAGATGATTTGTCAATCAATATTATCTAGTCTCTGACTTGTAGCAGGTTTGCGGCAGAGAGAGACTTTCACATAACCTGCTACCTGATGCTTTTGAACCTTCTACCACTGAGCTACAATCCCTTCCCAGTTCCAGTTCTAGAATTCAAATTCAAAAGTCTCTCAGGTTCTTCTTAACAATGAGCTGCCAAGCGCATGGTTGCTCTAGACAATGGAACAACTAAGCTAATGTGGTGTAGTGGTTAAGAGCGGTAGTCTCGTAATCTGGGGAACCGGGTTCGCGTCTCCGCTCCTCCACATGCAGCTGCTGGGTGACCTTGGGCCAGTCACACTTCTCTGAAGTCTCTCAGCCCCACTCACCTCACAGAGTGTTTGTTGTGGGGGAGGAAGGGAAAGGAGAATGTTAGCCGCTTTGAGACTCCTGAAGGGGAGTGAAAGGCGGGATATCAAATCCAAACTCTTCTTCTTCTTCTTCTAATGGCAGTCAGAGAATTCTAGGCCCACGGAGACATCAAAGCAGCAGTCCCTCCTTGGAGAAGACAAGCAAAGCACATGAGCTATGCATCAGTTAACTTCATAGATACATGGACAAACAATGATGTGCACCAGACATTTTTAAAAGGCTCTTACTTGCTGCTGTATGGAGAATGCAAGGGTTGCATAGGTTGTGTGCATGCCACATGCCAGAGAGTAGGACTTCCATTGGAGTAATGTGGAAAGTGGGATCCCCTCAAAAATTGGTTGCAACCTGTGCTTTTTAATGAGCAGTGAAGTGGCCAAGGTTAATGGTGATACTAAGTTGCCCAGGGTCTTTAAAACAAACAAACAAACAAACAAACATTGCAAAGAGCTCCAAAAGGGCCTCTCCAAACCACGTGAATGGGCAGTAAAATGGCAGATGCAATTCAATGTAAACAAGTGTAAAGTGATGTGTGTCAAGGAAAAACAGTTGGGAAAAGTTCAGAAAAGGGCAACTAGGGGATGGAGGAACTCCCTGATGAGGAAAGTCTGCAGCGTTTGGGGCTTTTCAGTTTTGAGAAAAGGTGATTAAGGGGTGACATGCTGAAAGGGTATGAAATTATGCATGGCATGCATGAAGAAGGTGGATAGAGAAAAGCTTTTCTCTCTCTCTCATAACACTAGAACACTAGAACATGAAGTGGAGCTGAACGTAGGAGGACTGAGGACAGATAAATGGAAGTACTCATTCACAGAGCATGTAGCTGAACTGTGGAACTTGCTCCAACAAGAGGCAGTGATGGCCACCAACTGGATGGCTTTGAAAGAGAATTAGATAAATTCATGTAGGTAAATGCTATCAGTGGCTACTAGTCCTGATGGCTGTGTGTTGCCTCCACTATCAGAGACAGTATGCTTCTGAATATCATTACAGTGGTACCTCGGGTTACAAACACCTCAGGTTACAAACACTTTGGGTTACAGAATCCACTAACCCGGAAGTAGTACCTTGGGTTAAGAACTTTACTTCAGGATGAGAACAGAAATAGCATGGTGGTGGCATGGCAACAGTGGGAGGCCCCATTAGCTAAAGTGGTACCTCAGGTCAAGAACAGTTTCAGGTTAAGAACGGACCTCCAGAACGAATCAAGTTCGTAACCAGAGGTACCACTGTATTTGGAAACTAGAGGAGAGGAGAATGCTCTTCCCCTTGCCCCTGGCCTGATACAGCAGGTTCTCCCTGTGTTCTTGTGAACAGTTGAGTTCCTGGGCCTCCATGGCAATGTGTCGTGGAATTCATTGTAAAAGAAAAAGAAGTGCTTTGCAAAGAAGTGTTTTCTTGTGGTAAAATACAAATACATCGTTACAGGCTGACTTCAAGGATTAGATGTGTGATTTCTGATTTGGACCATTTAGAGAGTGAAGGAAAACCAGCTTATTGACTTTGACTATAAGACCAAAAATGGTTTGCTCTGTAAAAACTTAATTATTTATTTTCAAGGGGCCCAAAATGGATATTTTTTGTGAAATATCTCCCATGAAATAGACTTTCAGTTTGCAAGCTTTACTGCCACCTGTTAGCCTGGAAAAATTACTTTATGCTCCTCTTAATTCTCCATAATGATACTCTTATGCTTGAGCAACGTGCCCTGACGAACTTGATAATCTGTGTCTTTAAAAAGTGGAAAATTAGTTCAGACAGCTGTGGCTTTGGAGGAAAAAACGAGCTTAAGTTCTCAGAAATTGTAGATGGTGTCTGAGCTGCACACATAGTGGTGATGACTGTATCCCACTGGCCATTTGACCTTTGCTCTTTTCCAGCCTAAAAATTAAGAATAACAGCATCCACGCACCATTTATAGCCTGAATAATAGAGATGCTTTGCTACTATTTAAAATAGCCAAGATAATATAAGGAGAACATTAGCGCAATAGTCTCACTTTTGCAATGTAGTACAGGAAGGTCGGCTGTTGGCTGAGAGAGAGAAAGAGAAGAAGAAGAAGAAGAGTTTGGATTTGATATCCCGCCTTTCACTCCCTTTAAGGAGTCTCAAAGCGGCTAGAAAGAGGTAAGCATATGTAGAAAACTTCCTTCTGAATGTTTTTGAGGAGGAGGAACACCTGCTATTCTTTACCTAAACGCTATAAAGAATTTAAAGGAATTTTGCAGCTTGCTATGTTTGTGGGAAACAATAGGTTGGATCCAGACTAAGCGAGTTGTACTTAGGTTCCATTGAAATCAATATCATCAATATTATGTGACAGAAATCTAACCTCCATTATCCAGTTCTAACTATTCAACCTCCAAAATTCAGAGCAGAAGACTTCAACCTGTTCAGTATGTTTTTGGGTTGTATTAGCCTGAATAGTATTTGGCATGGTGAGTGAGTCACCTGTTCGACTTTAAGCTCTAGCCACATCTGGACCAGTGAGAACTGCGAGCATAATTTTCTTTTCTCGTGGTGCAGCATGCACATCTCCCCAGATATCACTGTCACCATCTGTTGGTGACCATGACTGAACAAATCTCTGGTTCTCAATTTCCTCTGGTCGACCAGCGCACGTCACTTTTTATTTGGCAGTCTCATTGGAGATGTTGACAGCTTTGTCAAGCAAACTCATGGGCAGTCTTACCCTTTTGGGATAAGGGTGGAGGCACCGTGTGTGGCAGAAAACTCTCTGCCTCTTCTGGCCAGAACATGCCTGACTTTCAGATAAAGCAGAATGTTTGGTTTACACTTCACTCTGCCCAATTTTGCAAGCACGGTAGTAATGAGGTGAGCGAAAGAGACCGCTGCACAAAAGACGAGCCTTTCAATCCAGCGCCTTACATGGTATATTATTATAATGACATCATATTTTTGTAGGCACCAAAAGACATTAATTGTGTAAGCTCGAGGGTTTGATCTCCACCAGGCCTGTTTTCTTTCACATGACTGTCGGTTAAGGTTAAGCAGAAACTAGTTTTTCCTCCTGATCTGGATGAAGTGAAATTGGCCTGTGTTTATTGTCCAAAAGAAAATGGAAGATGCTTCCCTCGTGATTGTAAAAGTGACGGGATGTGTGGGAAAATAAAAGTGGTGACATAGCTGGAGTGAAAATGATTTCCATTGCCAAGTAATTGGGCATTTTGCACCATGGATGTCACACTGATCTGACACTAGCTTCTCTTTTTACTACACACACACACACACACTCATGTGATTTCACTGCTTTCTGCCAGATGGTCATTATATTTTACAGGACTGCAGGCAATTATACCTGTCAAGGGCATGCCAAAGTATTTAGCATTTATGGTTTGAGGGAGATTACCTCCTAAATGTTAATGGCAGACGGAGTCACACTAACCCTCCCATTTAAGATCTTCATTAGATCACCTCTCTGCAGCACTAAAGGATGAGTTAAGGGTAGACAGAAGTGAAATGTAACCGCCCCTCACGCAGGAAGTGGGTGGAATTCCAAAGAGGCAAAAAGAATCAGAAGCTTTGAAACTTTGTGTAACCATATTTTCCTAGGGAAAATAGGTAGGAACATATCCTTCATGGTTTGAGGTAAGCAAACCATTGTTTGACATTAAGAGACATTGTAAAAAGCATGGACTAAGACTGTAGAGAATAAGATATTTTTGATTAACAGTTTGTTTCTCTATCAGTGTCCAAATTTTCAGATGCTTTCTATACTTACAAAATACTTTTTTTCCTTATTTTGAATACAGTAGCATCGACAGCTGTTGAAACACAGAGGACCCGTCTACTATGCAACTGATTTAAATGCATTAAATGGTTAAGAGAAATGGGGGTATTTATGCTGCAATCCTAACATCACTTACCTGAGGAAGACCCATTGAATTCAGTAGTATTTTTGCATAATCATGGTGAGGATTATGCTGGTAAGATGGGATAGAAAGGGATTCCTAACAGAGACTTTGCAGCTCCTTCCCCAGACTACAATTTCCAAAATCCTTTAGAGGTAGCCATGGAAGGAAAACTGGCACCTATGTAAGTGTTTTGTGTGGAAAGATCCTTTGCAGATATGAGAGTAATTTTAAAAAACCAAACAAACAGGAAAAGTTATAATTAGAGAGCACCAATATATTTTAAGTTGATGCGTTTTTCATTTTAAGTATATTAAAGTAAAGGTAAAGGACCCCTGATCGTTAGGTCCAGTCGTGACCGACTCTGGGGTTGCGGCACTCATCTCGCTTTATTGGCCAAGGGAGCCGGCGTACAGCTTCCGGGTCATGTGGCCAGCATGACTGAGCCGCTTCTGGCGAACCAGAGCAGCGCATGGAAACGCCGTTTACCTTCCCGCCGGAGCGGTACCTATTTATCTACTTGCACTTTGACGTGCTTTCGAACTGCTAGGTTGGCAGGAGCTGGGACCAAGCAACAGGAGCTCACCCCGTCGCAGGGATTCGAACCACCGACCTTCTGATCAGCAAGTCCTAGGCTCTGTGGTTTAACCCACAGCACCACCTGCATCCCCTTTAAATATATTGAGGTGATAGTTATTAAGATCTTTCAAAATTGGCTTTAAGACAAGATTAGAAGAATGCATGCCTACTGGCATTTTAGTTTATATAATAATTATTCTGGTTATACAGAAATATTTTTGAGGATCATATGAATCCAAGAGTACACAAGCTGTTTGATGAATACATTGGTCATAATCGGATTTGTAATGTTTTTAAAAGGGTTCTCTATGTTACATTGATGCAGTTATTAACGTAGTAAATGCATTGTGCTTGCTTTTCTATTTTGCATTTTAAAATGTATGTTACCAATTATTTTAATTAAGTAGAGTAGACTTCTTTCTCTTCTCAAGCCTTGATATTTACAGTCACTCCTGAGGAAAACATTAGGCTTGCTGTCCATCAGGAAAATTCCTGTAATGTCCTGGTTTTCAGGTGTAAAAATGGCATAGGGGGGAATTTGAAAAATTGGCAAAATGTCAGGGAAAACTCGAATGTATGGCAACGTGATAGAAAAAGCAGTGGAAACAGCTCCAAAATCTTAAAATCACTATTTTGGCAACTCTGGAAAACATTGTGTTGAAAGTTGTCATGCAGTGGATTTGAACTGGAAGATTCTCATCCAGACACCAGCACAAGGTTCACTTCTTCTTTGTACACCTGTGCAAAAGCCAGCTGTACATAAGGAGAGAAGCTTCCATCCAGGAACTGTAAGGAACCAGCTGGATGGCAAGGAATACAAAATAGAATATAATGATGAACATAAAAAAAGGTAAAGGACCCCTGACAGTTAAGTCCAGTCGCGTATGACTCTGGGGTTGCAGCGCTCATCTCACTTTACTGGCCGAGGGAGCTGATGTTTGTCCGCAGACAGTTTTTCCGGGTCATGTGGCCAGCATGACTAAGCCGCTTCTGGCGAAACCAGAGCAGTGCACAGAAATGCTGTTTACCTTCCCGCCGGAGCAGTACCTATTTATCTACTTGCATTTGATGTGCTTTTAAACTGCTAGGTTGGCAGGAGCTGGGACACAGCAACGGGAGCTCACTCCATCGCAGGGATTCAAACCACCGACCTTCCGATCAGCAAGCCCAAGAGACTGTGCAAAGAGGGCATGGGCAGAGGGGGACCTGCCTCCCCCTCGCTGTGTTCATGCTTGGTGCTGTGGCTCCCCCTTGCATCCTCCGAGCCCTGCACCCCTTCCCCACTGGAGGCGTGGCTTCCCTCCTCCGCGGAGGAAGTGCTACTTCTCATGATCTTTGGAGACTCCCTGTAACCCAACTGCCCTTCCACCTAGAATCATAGAGTTGGAAGAGACCACAAGGGCCATCGAGTCCAAACCCCTGCCAAGCAGGAAACACCATCAGAGCACTCCTGACATATGGTTGTCAAGCCTCTGCTTAAAGACCTCCAAAGAAGGAGACTCCACCACACTCCTTGGCAGCAAATTCCACTGTCGAACAGCTCTTACTGTCAGGAAGTTCTTCCTAATGTTTAGGTGGAATCTTCTTTCTTGTAGTTTGGATCCATTGCTCCGTGTCCGCTTCTCTGGAGCAGCAGAAAACAACCTTTCTCCCTCCTCTATGTGACATCCTTTTATATATTTGAACATGGCTATCATATCACCCCTTAACCTCCTCTTCTCCAGGCTAAACATGCCCAGCTCCCTTAGCCGTTCCTCATAAGGCATCGTTTCCAGGCCTTTGACCATTTTGGTTGCCCTCCTCTGGACCCGTTCCAGTTTGTCAGTGTCCTTCTTGAACTGTGGTGCCCAGAACTGGACACAGTACTCCAGGTGAGGTCTGACCAGAGCAGAATACAGTGGCACTATTACTTCCCTTGATCTAGATGCTATACTCCTATTGATGCAGCCCAGAATTGCATTGGCTTTTTAGCTGCCGCGTCACACTGTTGGCTCATGTCAAGTTTGTGGTCAACCAAGACTCCTAGATCCTTTTCACATGTACTGCTCTCAAGCCAGGTGTCCCCCATCTTGTATTTGTGCCTCTCATTTTTTTTGCCCAAGTGCAATACTTTATATTTCTCCCTGTTAAAATTCATCTTGTTTGTTTTGGCCCAGTTCTCTAATCCGTCAAGGTCGTTTTGAAGTGTGTTCCTGTTCTCTGGGGTGTTAGCCACCCCTCCCAGTTTGGTGTCATCTGCAAATTTGATCAGGATGCCCTTGAGTCCATCATCCAAGTCATTGATAAAGATGTTGAATAAGACCAGGCCCAAGACAGAACCCTGTGGCACCCCACTAGTCACTCTTCTCCAGGATGAAGAGGAACCATTGATGAGCACCCTTTGGGTTCGGTCAGTCAGCCAGTTACAAATCCACTGAGTGGTAGCATAGTCAAGACCGCATTTTACCAGCTTCTTTACAAGAATATCATGGGGCACCTTGTCAAATGCCTTGCTGAAATCAAGGTGGGCTACATCCACTGCGTTCCCTTCATCTACCAGGCTTGTAATTCTGTCAAAAAACGAGATCAGGTTAGTCTGACATGACTTATTTTTCAGAAATCCATGCTGACTATTGGTGATCACAGCATTCCTTTCTAGGTGCTCACAGACTGTTTGCTTAATGATCTGCTCCAGAATCTTCCCTGGTATTGATGTCAGACTGCCTGGGCGGTA